CCAGATCTGATCGACTTATACCTACCGATCCAAAATACTATTTAAATCCAACTTTTGATCCAGTCTTGGATCCATGCTCAATCCAACTAAAATGAAATTCGAGTTTTTGACCCAAACCGAATAAATTCTCCGACCTACTGCTCCTATTGAAGGTTGTTTGCCTTAGTTATGACGTCATAATGACACCTTCTCTGACCTACTCCTCCCATTGAAGGTTGTTTGCCTTAGTTATGACGTCATAATGACACCTAGCCATGACATGTGGTTTCTCACCCCATTGGCCCAACAACTGGCTCCACATCTGAGGACTTGGGTGATCATGACCTAATACAAACCCTAATACATCATGCTTATTCTTAGCTGACACGGTGTTTAGAAAGTCGGACTCGAGTCGAGTCATGGTGGCCCCGGTCTGACTGAGGTGATTCCTAATCGAACAAAGAAAAGTTATAGAAGGGTTTTTTTTTTGTCTCTGAATAACTTGTCTCCGGATATGGTCAGAACCCTGCGTAGACTGAAGATTTTTCAAGACAGGACATTTTTTCCATCTAACTATTAAGAGAAGATGGACAATCACTCCATCGTGGCCCCATTTTTCAACAGCTTTCAACCAAAAGGGTGTCAATCTTCCCCTTTTTTCTTCTGCTTTATTTATTTTTTGTTCTTTTTGTTTTTTAATGTTAACTTCAATTTTATAAACCAAACTTAAATGGGAAAAGTTTGTAAGGTACTATCTAGACCGTCAATTCAAGTGTTCATACATCGGCTCGATTTACACTATTTTTTAATATTTAAATTTTATAATTAAATATAAAATTTCAAGTCATCATAAAGATTTCTTATACTAAAACAACATATTTCGGCACTATTTGAAGGTGCTTTAAGGCCTCAAACTTATACAAAACCTACCCAACTTAAATTTCCCAAATTTGGGTCGTACCTTTTTCTTTTTTCTTTTTTTTTAAAATGCCCAATTTTGCAAAGTTTTGACCTAAACCCCATATTTTAAGTTGATCTTTGGCCTACTTTGACATTAATATGTTCCCAGTTTTACATCATTCAAATTTCAAACTTTGATATATGTTTCACTTGGCTTGGTATTTTACTCGGACTTCTACCCAAAAATATTGAAATGTAAAACAAGGCCCAAGAAGTCATAACAACAAGTGAAACAAATTCAATTCCTCATGTGAGTGGCTTTGAGAACTTAGTTTCTATATCCTTTCTAACATGTAAAGGATGTAATTTAAGACATTTTGCTTAGAGCTGTAATTTCTTGGACTTTCGTACTAGAAATTCACAATTATTCTTAGCCCTTTGATGTAAAATTAGGTGGTTAAGAGTGTGGAGGAATTCGTCATATGTAAAATCAGGTGGTTGTGTATTTCTCTACAATAAGTTCCTAAATTTGATTTTTGGAATTTGAGCATGGTCAATGACACACCCACAGCCGCCTAATTTCACATCTTAGGGTAAGAGATGATTGTGACCTTTTTATACCAATACTTTCTGTTTTGCTATACCCCTTCCCACATCCACCATCCATCAAGGGCATGGATGAAGGCCACTGTTGCATCACGTACATCATGCATGAATATATATAAATTTAGTCTAGGTAAATATACACGTGTTCATGGTCTTTTCTGTGTGCCAATATCTTGAGGATATATTTTAGAAATCTAGATACTTTTTTTTGAAATATTATAATAAAAGTACTTAATGCCACCTAAATATTACATTTCTTTTCTTTAAATGAGGTACATGCATAATGTTCTCGAAAACCAATTTTGAGATTTAACATTTTTTATACTCATATTTATGTCAAAGCAAATACATATTCTGTCCACATAACATGCATTTAGTTTAGCAATATATA